GAATACAACGAAAATAGTTTCTGAATACAACGAAATAGTTTCTGAATGTGACAAATAGTTTCTGAATACAACGAAAATAGTTTCTGAATACGACGAAAAATAGTTTCTGAATACAACGAAAATAATGTATAAATACAACGAAAATAGTTTCTGAATACGACGAAATAGTTTCTGAATACAACGAAAATAGTTTCTGAATACAACGAAAATAGTTTCTGAATACAACGAAAATAGTTTCTGAATACGACAAAAAAATCTTTCTGAATACAACGAAAATAGTTTCTGAATACGACGAAAATAGTTTCTGAATACGACGAAAATAGTTTCTGAATACGACGAACAATAGTTTCTGAAGACTAGTTTCTGAATACAGCGCAGTTTCTGAATACACTGAATACGACTTTGTTCCATCCAGCATGGCTCCTACCAAAGAAGATTAGGTGAAGAAGTGAACTTGAAAAGCCCCTCTCACATGAGTCACACGGTCACCTCCTGGAACTTGTCCCCTTCCAAGTCTATCACGGGGTGACGAGGATCCACAAGGGTCATTCCCTTTCTACGGTTCAGCGTCCTTCCTAGTAGTAAGGCCAGGAGCCCCGTTCGTAGCGTCCCATCGGCGATGCGCGACACGCGGAGACCGCGCGGAGATCGCGGGGAGACCGCCCCAGCGCGCTGGACGGAACTCGCGAAGCGAGCCGCAGAGATCAGCCGCATCCAAAAACTCGGAAGAAGCGTCCGCAGCCTCGAGAGGGGGCCACTGAAACCATCTGCTCTTCTGTTTTGGGACCCGTGGAATGAAGACCAAAGGATCAGAAAGCCAAAGAAGCGGTAGGTTGGTTCACTAAGTCAAGCTACAGCCTTCTAAATCTAAACCACGCAAGAGTTTTGTGGCTTGGTGCAACTAATCATGACAAGATTCTTGTGAACAAAGCCCATTGCCAAAGCTTAGAACACCGAACACCCGTGGAACAGCAAATAGAGGGCTCAAGAAAACCAACGATTCAAAGACCGAATCATGGCCGTGACACTTCTCTGCTCATCTGGTCAGGTCGCTCGCCCGTGCCGTGCCTTCTGTGCAAGTGTGAGGGCTACGGTCAGGTACCTCTGATGCTCGGGCATCACCGGGTGGAGACTTCCCGGGTCAAACCCCCCCCTGGACTGATTATGAGTATACCAACTAACCTAGGAGCGATGGCCTCCAACCTACTAGCGATGGCCTCCAACCTGCCCTCCAACCTAAGGGCGATGGCCTTAAACCTAAGAGCCTTAAAAGTATTGGAAGAAGAAGACTTAACAGGTTGGGCTTGGCCGCCGAGAGCTTGCACTGGTGCATGACTATCTAGTTCTTTCTTGGGGAAACTGTAGGACCAGACCCAACACCGAAATCGTAGAAACTTCTCAAGATAGGTCTTCATCAAAAAGCCTGTATAGCCTCAAGTAGTGCTATACCTTCCTAGAACCCACTCTACCATCATTGCCCTCTGCCCTCTCTGATATGGTTCCAAAAAATAACTAACATCTTCGAGTGGTTGCTCCAAAAAGAACTCTCCAAGAAGAACATCCGAAAATCCCAGTGAAAGCTCTCCATCCCGTAGAAACCTACGACATGTGTATTGCCAAGCCAATCGATGTTCCAACGGCCTCCTTTTCCCCAATACACTGCTCGGAGCTCACTGGAAGAGCTCGCCGGCTCGGTGCTTCACCTCCGCTCGGCGGGGTCGTTCGCTCGGTGGGGTCGTTCGCTGGGTGGCGCAAGCGCAAGACGTGGGGAAAGACGGAACGACGTGGGAAAGACCGGGAAAGACATCATAGGTTCTTTGTACTTACCATAAAATCAAGCATAAATCAAACAAATCAAACCAAGGGGTGTGTTAGATCTTGTGTTTTTGCCTGCTTCGAGGGTTGTAGCACTCAACTCTGAAAGTGATTTGAAAGTGAGAGATTGCGCGCCCAGCACTTGATGATTAAAAGAAAATAAAAGTCCTCTTCCCTCTCGGAGGATCAAGTTGTTTTGTTTGGAGAAATAGAAAAACCCGCCCCCGCTGAAAAACCGGGGGCGTCCGTTGCGCAATCAGCGACCTTTGAATCAATTTGGTCCAAGGCTGAGCATCCGGCGAATTCTTCAGAAGGGCAGATTTGCCTGCAAGGTGTGTCAAACATGCTGATCTCAGATTCAAGACCGTCAAAAATCATTGGGACGAGTCCAGGTCAAGCTAAGCATCCCCCACAATCCACTTGGATTCATGTCCCATGCCATCAAGAGTTGTCAAGCCGATGTTAAAGCTTTTGCTATGCCAAAATGGTCACTCTTGCTGGCGTTTAGCCAAAGGCAACACTTCGGATAGCCAGAGAAATCAAAAATGGCCATGGCCATGAAGAAAATAGTAAACAAATTAATAAGTGTGTATATATATATATATATGTATCAAGGCAATGAAGTGGTCAAAACTGCTCGGACGTGCCTCACCCCATCGAGTGTTTAGAAAAATTGAAATCACTTGAACCACTGTCTTTCCTCGAAATCAGGGTCACTCCACGTTGCTCCCCGTTTCGTCGTTCTTTGGAACACCCCGTTCCCCACGCTTCCCCACGCCCCGCGTCGCGTGAAACCGTCGTCGCCCCACCTCCAAAAGGTGGTTTTGGGCAACGAAGGGCAATCAGGAAGAGCCGAGCTGGCCGATCGCGCCAGATCGCGAGGGAATCTTCTAGCTTGGTGCACTGGGGGAATTCGCGAGCTTGAAGTGTGGCCAGATGCGGTGTTCGGCAGGAGCTTCCGGTGGTTTTTGCGGTCTGTGCCAGAAGATGCTTCTCTGTCTGACAACCAATCTACCCACTTGCAAGAACCAAAGAAAGCGCATAAAATCGGTTCCCCTTCATGCTCCCCTTTTGGCTCCGGTTGTTCCGGTGCTCGTGGTCCAACCTCTACGTCAAAAGCCCAAGCACTTGGAGATTGGAGAGCTTTGCTCCGAAGGAAAAGATGATTGGGCAGCTTTTTGGAACCACTTTGGCTGTGAATACTGAATACGCTTTGAAGTCTACAACATCTCCGCATCTGGGAATTTCAGTCTCCCAAGAGACGTTGGTTTGTTTGACTCTGAACTGCAGCGTTGAGGGAACAGTTCTTGTGCTGTACCCATCTGAATCAGACCAAAACCTCTGGTTGCTTCCTTCAACCCATCAGAACAACTTATGGTCAGCTCTCTAGCGCTGTTAAATCCCTACCCAACACATCAAGCAGAGGCCATTGTGGGAACGCTAGGAACCAGTGATCTGATCCTTCCGAGGGATGGCAAGTTCCAAACGTTCACTTTGGAACCAGGACATGCGCCAGCTCCTGCAAACGCTGCGACCTGGCCAACAGGTGCAAGAGTGATGCAGTTGGTTGAAAGGTGTGCAGAAGAAAATGGAATATTCTCCAACACACCTGGCGTGCATCCGTTAAAACCATGATGCAGTGGTTTTCGACTATCTGTTGTTTGCGTGTTGTCTAGTGGCATTGGGGAGGTCCTCTATTTTGTCTACAAAACCGGTCGTGTGGTCCAAAGCATCTTCGCTGCAATGGCACAAGGGAAACAACGATCCTGTGTCTTGTGTCCAACGATATGACCCTGGCATGCACGCGGCACAGTATCTTGATGTATCTTGATCTAATGGTCTATATCCAAGAAAGCCTGGATGGACTGGAAAGCACGGAAAGGAATGGGAAAACGTCTCACTGTAGCAAAAAGTCACGTGCGTCGTGACTGAAGAGATCCCCTCAGCTCGTGCAGAGACCCCTGCTCTTCCAAATCGATTCCACTCCATCCCAGGAGTCCGATGAGTAGGATTGGTTCATCATGCTTCCAACGGTTATGAGTTCTTTGCCCCTTCCATTTCTCCGAAAAAAACAAAGGAAAACGTTCATTCGACTCAAACGACGTCCTTCCTTTCCATGCCCAAACCTCTTCCCTCTCCTACCTTGGGAGACGCGCAGCAGCCGTCCGAACCTCAGGACGGTCGACTCGCTCGGACGGAGTTTTAGAAATGCGAAAAAAGAAACAAGAATGCGAAAAAAGTGACGAAGTTTTAGAAATTGTTTGATGTTTTTAGGTCCAGCAGATGTCAGATCCATTTCGCAAAAAACAAATAGCAGTCAACTAACTCAAGCCACCCGACATGTGTCACTCGAGAATCTCGCCACGCCGTCCGGCATTTTTCACGCCATCACAAAGGCGTCTCCCGGTGCGCTCGCGGCGGACCGCAGCGTTCGGGGCTGGTCGCTTTTTCTGGATGCTTCGGGGCTGGTCCCTACCAGCGAAGGACAACAAAGAGGACGACCCCTGCGATGATGTCGATGTTCCGAAGCAGCCAACACCCCATGAATTTATTTGGAGGACAGCTAAAAGCAAAGGATGTCATTCAAAGACTTATCAGAGAGTCAGCACAGGTTTGGCTGGAAGCAACAATCACAATCTGTTACATGTAACACTGAATGTGAAACTAAATATTTGGAAAGCTGCGTTCCTCTACGAACCAGTGGCTTTGGTGTTTATATAATTGAAGTTTAACCGCTGTCCTGCGAGGTGGTTTGCTTCACCTCCGAATTACTACCACGCCAAGGATCAATGGATCCAGTCTTCGCAGGAACGAATCCCTAGATTGGAAAGTCGGCCTATCTTGCTAACTGAATTAGAAGCTGAACCAAACATTAAACATGTGGTAGATGTAAAGCATAATAGGATAACTCTAAAGGACTGGCCAAGTGGCAAGTCTAAAGTGGTACAGTATCCAGAGACTCTCCACAGCTCTAAGATCTGTCAGCTCTCAGAGCACATCTTTGATTCGTAGTGGCCCACCTCAGAAAAAAAGATGTGGCAAATCCTGCACTCTCTGCACTCTCTCAGAAAGTGGTTCGTATTTGCCAGGATTCGAAGCCAAAACGAACCAAACGGGTGGAAAAGGCGTTCTCTCACTCTTCGGACCATGGGAACTCATCCATGGCACCGCTGTTTGGAAAGCGCTGTTTGGTTACTTAGTTGCCAAATGTTGCCAGCTTTAGCCATCACCTTTCAAGTTGTAGAAAGTCGCTAAGTTCACCACTTTTGATTTCCACCAAGTTCACAGTGTAGTCGATGGCGTGTGAATCGACTGAAATCCGACGCACACTTCCTGCGCCAAAAAGCAGGGGACCGCAGAACGTCTGGGTGATCAAACATGTCTGGTAAGTCCGTAAGTCCGTCTGAGTGATCGCAGTCAGGATCAGGATCCCGGCTAGACTCAACTTGGATCTGCGTCATGGAAGCCGTCTAAGTCAATTATATATTCAAAGTCAACAAACACAGGCTTCGCGTTCGTGGTACGATTCATACAAGGTCGTCAAGTAGATCTCCTTTCTGGAACAGGACCTGTGGGGCGACCACTGGCACTTCAGCCGCATGTGGGCGTTGCCATCTCTCGTCTCCGGCTTCTCCGAACAGAAACCAAACCGCACGGGGTCCTGGACACATGCCCACCATCCCCTTGTTGATTGCAGGGATGTTGTGCCTGAAAGGACGTTCTGGGTTTCATGGCAAAACCATCCAAAAAGCCCTCGGGTTTGTGGCCCTTGGCAAGGTGAGAGATGTCCAATGAGGGGAAGAGTCACTGAAAAAAATACACTGTTTCCCAGTCATTGTGGGGCCCTCTTTGATCAGCAGCATCTATGAGTAGTTTGAGTGGTCGCGTAGTGAAAGCCAAAGATTCCAAGCATTCGGATGCATGCACTTGAATGCTGAGGAACATGCTTTTCAACTTCTGCATGTCTATTTGCAAACATACAGTCGGACTGCCTATGCAGCACACAAAAGAAGTCCATTGAAGCAGCTCAAAAACCTCGAAACAAATTGTCTTCCATAAAAAGCTTCTTGTTACTAGTAGCTTCTTGCTACTAGTAGTAAGGCCAGGAGCCCCTAGTAGCGTCCTTGCTCCTAGCAGCGATGCCCTTTGCTCCTAGTAGCTTCTAAGAAGTCGTGTTGCCTTCACCGAACGGTGAAGAAGTGTCAACACGAAGAAGCCACCAGTGGCTTCGCGTTGCGGCCGTTCGTTCAAAATGGTCGACTTGTTCAACAGGCGTATTTAAGTGATCGGTGGGACTCACCCAGTTGTGTTTTTAGGATGTTTTTGGACGCATTTTTTCGGTCTTCCCGAACCAATGTTTCCATGACCAGTTGCTTGCCCAGGATGAAGCTCTGCTCAGCATCGTCTTTCGAAGTGGCTTGCTGGGCGGACGGAGGGAATGAGCCATGGATCTCCCAACCCCAAATTGGTGGCAAAAAACCCTTCCCCAAAGAACTGTGGATTCTCTGCTGCAGTTCCTCTCCCAGATCTCAGCTGAAATGACCGATCTGGTGTAAAGAATTCAGTTGTATCTCTACTCACTTGAAGGTTTTTCGACCTCTCACTCCTTCCTGAAGCCGAATCAATGCCCCGAGCTCTTTCATCACCAAGTCCATCCAAAGCGCTGCAAGCTGAACAAATCGCTTACATGGTTCGTCTTCCTTTCGTCTTCAACCTGAGCATCACTCTGGTATTTACAGCCAAAAAGGACACCATATGGACCATAGCTGCTTAGCTCGAGCCCTCACTGATCCAGGACACTGCTCCAGGCCTCCACGTGTTGCGGCCCAGTCTGTGCACGCAACAAGATGCGCACAGCATCTCCGCGGCGAACCTGGCGATCGAATGTCCAAGGAGGTGCAGAAAAGCCACGAGAAGGGCAACCAACCAACCTACCTACCTACCTACCAACCAAACCTACCAACCAAACCTGAAAGCAAGCAAACGAACAAACCAAGCAGCTCACCTACTCTGCAGCCACTCTGAGTCCACCCCAAGCAAGCAATATAGCTTTGGCACCTGCTGAGAGCACTGCGTCGGCTTCATCTCCTGGTGCGAACGAACCTCGTTGTGGCACCCAACCACGGTCCCACCATGGCGCGGTGAAGATCCCAAAGATGAATCGAACATTCGACACCTGGGAAGAGTGTTCATCAGTTCAGGTTGGATGAGAAACATCCAACATCTCTATCAAATTCCACACCGGATGACCATGCCGGTGCCGGTAGTAAGAAACCCCCCCGGCCCTAGCTATGGAGCGTCCTGCACCCGGAAGCCGGGCATCACATCCGTGACCTTCACACCCTGCCAGGCAGCCTCGAGCAAATCACCCGGTCGGTGCCGCGCGCATGCCGAAGAAGCTGGTCGGTGTGGAGCTTTTGGGGTGGTGAATCTGCTCTATATCAACATCTAAATCTATTATATGCGTAAAAAGCTTCCATATACCTCCATGTACATGTGTATGTACATATATATATATATTATGTGTGTGTGTGTGGAAGCAATACCCCTCGCTGGTTTGCATGCTTGGCTCTGCCTGCTTTCCTCTCATCTACTTGTTCTGCCAAGGATACTCTTGTTTCACATGTCCATTCATGATTGGACAATTATACATTGTACAATTAGGACAGCTATACATGTTCATTGTATAAATGTCCGAACATGTATTCATTAGGATACTCTTGTTTCAATTGTATAGGTCCATTCCAACGAATCCGATAGGACATTTATACCATTCACGAATGATCCCTAGATGCCTTGGAGGAGCTTCTTTGGAATGCATGAAAGTGATGCGCGCTCATCTTCCGGACAACGTGCA